CCAATACTTTGGCCACCTGATGCAAAGAACTGACTCATTTGAAAAGACCTTGATTCTGGGAAAGATTGAAGGCAGGAAGAGAAGGGGACGACAGAGGATGAGATGGTTGGATGGCATCACCAACTCGATGGACATGAGTGCAAGAAAGCTCTGCAAGTTGGTGATGGACAGGAAGGCCTTGTGTGCTGCAGTCCATGGAGTCACAAACAGTCAGACTCAACTGAGTGACTGAAATGAACTGAACTTAAGATAAATTTAGATAATTCTGTTTCATTAATGTGGAACGGGATATTAATTCTGATCTTGGGGTGCAGGCACTTAATCAAATTATCAAGCTATCTACAATGATGGTTTATTTGAAACAGTTCTTCTGAGCATGAGGCTTCTTTCTTGCATCAGATGAGTAAGACCTCAAAGGGGCAGGGAGAAGTACTTGTCAGTTTGAAAGTCACAGACAGTTTATCCTTCTATAAATAGCTTAGGAGAAAAAAGTGAAGAACCCACTGCAGCAGGAAGAAGCAAGAGTCTTCCAGGGTCTGACATTTGATTAATATTGTTTCTGTGCATTTCCATTGTTTTTCCATGGCAGAACATATGGCAGAGACTTGGGAACATGCATGCCTGAAGCCAGGTTACTCTTATGTTCCATAACTATGTTGCTTGCAGGGCCACAGAAGTTGGCTGTGCCCCAGACAAATGGGGTGCTGGTCTGTTCCCACAAATCTTTATCCCAGTCTTCATGGCAAGGAGGGCACTGCCATGTGCTCTCAGCCAGTCTCTCATCCAAGGTTCCTGGTTTGGTTGACTACATCCTGCTCAATACAGCTTTTGTCATCACAGCTCGAGATATGATGACTGATTTCAGCCCGAGGAACCTGATGGCATTGAAGGGACAAATCTCCAGTTTGTCTGCGACATCAGGATGATTCTTTCTGCACTTGATAAGTTGATAAGGAAACCTGTAGGCCCTGATCTGGTGGTTTTTATCATAAGGGCATTGTAACAGCTTTTCAGGGTTCAGAGTATCAATGTAAGTTTCTTCCATGTTGGGAATTAAGGAGATTAATCCAAAATGCTCCGCTGAGACACACTCTCCCAACCCTGGTCTTCGCCCAGCCCCTGTGCCCCAGCAACGGTTCACTTCCGGTCCCTGACGTTACGGGGTGGGGCCCCCACTTCCTGTGACGCAGGGCTGGGCGTCAGCAGAGAGTGAGGATGGGGGCAAAAATCTCAGAATTTGAGATGGGAGTCTACCCCACTAATTTGGAGTGTATTATGGACTCTAGAAAATTTGGTTTATGCCCACAAGTACAAAACAGAGATATCTGAAATTTTAAGATGAAGACATCGTGGACATAAACTCACCCTTTGAGCCATACCAGAATAAATGTGTAACAATTACTGAGTCTCTACAGCTCTAAAGATGAGAGATCATATTCACATTGGCTGTGCCGGGTGGCCTTTCCTGTAAACCCTGAAGGACCTGCCTTGTCAGCAGCTGGGGGCTACAGTCAGGCATGCCCCTAAAAATCAGAAAGTTCAGGAAATCAGAAAGCACACTGACCATCAACTCAGGGATCAATATGCAAGTCATTAGAAAAGATATCTGACTTTAAAGCTGACAACACCTCCCTGGAGGGACTTCCCTAGTGATCCAGTGGTTAAGAATACATCTTGCAATGCAAGGGTTGCAGGTTCAATCCCTGGTCAGGGAACTAAGATCCCATATATTGCAGAGAAACAAAGCCTGTGGGCCATGACTAGAGAATCTGTGCACTGCAACAAAAGATCCTCTATGACACAGCAAAGCTCCCATGTGCCTCAACTAAGACCTGATGCAGCCAAAGTTAATTAATTAATTAATTTTTAAAACCCCTTCATGGATCACAGTCTTGTCATGGTGAAGAGGCTTGCATAACTCAACGAAGCTACGAGCCATGCCATGCAAAGCCACCCAAGATGGACAGGTCATAATGAAGAGTTCTGACAAAACGTGGTCCACTGGAGGAGGAAATGGCACACCACCCTAGTACTCTTACTGCAAGAACTCCATGAACAGTATGAAAAGGCAAAAAGATAAGGCGCTGGAAGATAAGCACCCCCAAGGTGTCTGATATACTACTGGGGAAGCATGGGCAATTACTAATAGCCCCAGAAAGAATGAAAAGGTTGGGCCAAAGTGGAAACGATCCATCAGTTGTGGATGTATCTGGTGGTGAACTAAAGAGTCTCTTGATGAAAGTGAAAGAGGAGAGTGAAAAAGTTGACTCAANGAATAGTCATTAGGAGAACTGATACTGAAGCTGAAGCTCCAGTATTTTGGACACCTGGTATGAACAACCGACTCATTGGAAAAGATCCTGATGCTGAGAAAGACTGAAGGAAGGAGGAGAAGGGGATGACAGAGGATGAGATGGTTGGATGGCATCACTGACTCAATGGACATAAATTTGAGCAAATTCTGGGAGTTGGTGATGGACAGGGAGGCCGGGCATGCTGCAGTCCATGGGGTTGCAGAGTTGGACGTGACTGAGTGACTGAACTGAACTGAACTGGTGGTGAAAGTAAAGTCCAATGCTGTAAAGAATAATATTGCCTAGGAACCTAGAATGTTAGGTCCATGAATCAAGATAAATTGGACTTGATTGTGAACCTGGCCCCCATCTCTGCAACCCTACTCAAGTTATTTAACCTCTCTGTGCCTCAGCTTCCTCATCTCTAAAATGGGCTTGATAACGGTGCCTACATCAGATATCATTTGTGATGTGCTTAACAGTGCCTGGAATTACTATAATAGATCTTTAAAAAAAAAAATACTAGGTACACGACATTCTTCCTGAATTTCAGGTGTTTACATGCATGATCTTGGTAGATGGGAAGTTCACCTCTACTGATAGCTAAATATCTCAGTTAAGACTCAGCCTGCTTGATTCTGCCTCCCTCATGTCTGAGCCTAAGGTAACATTACATAAAGTAGTGCAGAGCCTCCACTTATTCATCTGGGAAGTGGGGTTATAATGGTTCCTCCCCCCTCCTAGGCTGACCTTGGAAGTCAACAAGACAGAGAATGTTCTGCACAAAGCCCAGCATATCATACGTGACTGTTACCAGTATTGTGGCTCTAACCCAGACATCATTTCTGATCTGCAGTGTGAACGATCAGGCTATGCTAACCCTGGTGCCTTAGGGCCATACAGGGGCCAGAGGGCCTTGAGAATGTAGGCGGCTGGGGAGCCACTCCCTGTCAAGGTAGAATAACCCTTGTGCACTCCAGAAACCCAAAGACAAGGCAGGGGCCTTTGTGAAAGCTACTTTCCCTGGTGGCTCAAATGGTAAAGAATCTGCCTGCAATACAGGAGACCCAGGTTTGATCCCTGGGTCGGGAAGATCCCCTGGAGAAGGGAATGGCAACCCACTCCAGTATTCTTGCTCGAAGAATTCCATGGACGGAGGAACCTGGTAAGCTACAGTCCATGAGCTTAGACACAAAGAGTCGGACACAACTGAGCAACTAACACTTTGTGAAAAGGCAAAATGTTTCATAATTTACCCATCAGTAGCTCAGTTGGTAAAGAATTTGCCTGCAATGCAGGATACTCAGGTTCAATCCCTGGGTCAGGATGATCCCTTGGAGAAGGAAATGGCAACCCACTCCAGTATTCTTGCCTGGAAAATCCCATGACAGAGGAGCCTGGTAGGCTATAGTCCATAGGGTAATGAAGAGTCGGACCCAACTGAGCAACTAAACCACTAGACTCTGAAAATTATCAAACCTAGTATGACTTGAATGCTTACCAAGACCCATCCAGCTTCACACATATTAGCTCCACCCACCCTGGGAGATAAGTCATTTTCCTATCATCACTCCACAAAGGAGGAAACTGAAATACAGAAGGGTTAAGTCATTTAGCTGGACATGGCAGAGGGAGGTTGAAACCCAGGCAGGGGTTGATTTATAAACATCTGGAGTATAAAATATTCTATTCTTCCAGAGCACAGGGCTTAGCATATAGTAGGTGATCAATAAAAGGCATGTGTTAGGGACTTCTCCAGCAGTCCAGTGGTTAAGACTCTACACTTTCAATCCAGGGAGAGAGAGTTTGATCCCTGGTAGTGGAACTAAGATCCAACATGCCATACAGCACAGTCAAAAAATTACACACAAAAAAAATGCATGTGTTGGCTAAATGGGCATTTAAGAGGGCACCGGCCTTAATGCCTTAAAAATGCAGAGAGTCTTATGTCACTAGTATAGAGGGTTCCTAAGCTCTAAGTCCTAACAAACACCTGTTGAGTTGGATGTCTACCCCAAGAGAGGGTGGAGGTAATGCTGGAGGTGGTTTTAAGCTATGCCCTTTGAGATCATTCTAAGACTCTGAAAATTATCAAACCTAGTATGACTTGAATGCTTACCAAGACCCATCCAGCTTCACACATATTAGCTCCACCCACCCTGGGAGATAAGTCATTTTCCTATCATCACTCCACAAAGGAGGAAACTGAAACACAGAAGGGTTAAGTCATTTAGCTGGACATGGCAGAGGGAGGTTGAAACCCAGGCAGGGGTTGATTTATAAACATCTGGAGTATAAAATATTCTATTCTTCCAGAGCACAGGGCTTAGCATATAGTAGGTGATCAATAAAAGGCATGTGTTAGGGACTTCTCCAGCAGTCCAGTGGTTAAGACTCTACACTTTCAATCCAGGGAGAGAGAGTTTGATCCCTGGTAGTGGAACTAAGATCCAACATGCCATACAGCACAGTCAAAAAATTACACACAAAAAAAATGCATGTGTTGGCTAAATGGGCATTTAAGAGGGCACCGGCCTTAATGCCTTAAAAATGCAGAGAGTCTTATGTCACTAGTATAGAGGGTTCCTAAGCTCTAAGTCCTAACAAACACCTGTTGAGTTGGATGTCTACCCCAAGAGAGGGTGGAGGTAATGCTGGAGGTGGTTTTAAGCTATGCCCTTTGAGATCATTCTGTCTCTAGTGGCCTGGAAAATCATCAGCTTGGAGCAAGCAACGAATACTAGAGTCTCATTTTTGCAAAACTGGAGTGAATGTGAAATTATGACTTTTTCTAAAATGTTAATAAAGCCTCTCAATATGTGTGAAAAACAGAAATGTGAATCACTTTAATTCATAAGAGTTAAGAATGATATAGTTTCTGAGCTGGTGGGCTAACTGTAAGTGGATTTATGCTATTGCCGCATGGGGGCACCAGATTAGCTGGTGAACAGAAACATATCTCATCATTTGTTGGGTCAAGTCGTCAGCAAGTTGTGAATAATTCAAGTTCTGGAGTTCTTCAAGGCTAGGTCCCCTGAATGAAACACACCTGTTAAGAATAATAGCATGTGCTCTTGGATGCAAGCTGGTTCCTTGGAAGCTGCATTCAGAAAAGGATGAAGAGGGAAGAATTTGCAACCCTGTAAATGGTTTCTTTGTTGTTGTTGTTATTGTTGTTTAGTCGCTCGGTTGTGTCCGACTCTGCAGCCCCATGGACTGGGAGGCTCCTGCCAGGCTCCTCTGTCCATGGTAAGAATAGGGGAGGAATGGGTTATCACTTCCTTCTGCAGGGTATCTCCTCTCAGGAATCAAACCCACATCTGCATTGGCAGGTAGGTTCTTTACCCCTGAGCTACCGATTTCTAGACAGTGTTAAAACATCATATAAGTAATAAAACTTTAAGAGCAACATCAGGATAAACAAAAGAAGTTACCCATAACATCACCAATCTAGCATAAGTTTTATAACTTTCTTGCTTTTCCTTCTAGTCTTTTTTTCCTATACACTGTTCTTTAACAACTATAATTATAGCACACATATGATTTTACAACTAATTTTTATATTAGTATTATATAAACAAGTTTTAGCCATTCCCACAGTCTGCAAAAGCATAAATCATCATTTTTCACTACTAGATAAAATTCTCCCTATGAAAATGCAGCAGAGAGAAAGACATGATGAGAGCCTGGATTTTGGAGCCAGGTTACCTGGGTCCAAATCCTGGCTCTGCCACTTACAAGCTGTGTGACTTTGGCCAGTCAATTTACCTCTCTGTGCCTCGGTTTCCTCATCTATAAAATGAGATGATACTAGGACCTGCCTCATAAGATTGTCCGAAAGAGTAAATGATTTTATATACTAGAGTGATTGCAACAGAGCCTGTCACGTGGCAGTTGCCATCCAGGTGTTAAATAAACAGCAACTGTGTTTCTGTTTAAATCCATGCTTCTCCTTTCATTGGCTATTTCTGGTTCCTAGAACCAAAAGGATTTTGAGTTCTTGTCTCAGAAGAGCATCACAGACATTCTAACCACAGTGATGAATGGGCCAAATACTGTGCTTTCTGCCAGCAGTCTCCTCTCCTAGACTCTCCTTCCCTAAAGCTCCTCAAAGTCTCCCCTTTGTCAATATCTTTGAACAACAGCAGCTTAAAGCAGAGTTTCTCAGGGGGTGGGCCTCTTCAGAGGTGCCAGGGCCCGTTCTCATAGTGGAATTTCACTTCTCTTCATTGGAAGGACTGATGTTGAAGCTGAAACTCCAGTACTTTGGCCACCTGATGCGAAGAGCTGACTCATTTGAGAAGACCCTGATGCTGGGAAAGATTGAGGGCAGGAGAAGGCTTGGGACGACAGAGGATGAGATGGCTGGATGGCATCACCGACTCAGTGGACATGGGTTTGGGCAGACTCTGGCAGTTGGGGATGGACAGGGAGGCCTGGCGTGCTGCAGTTCATGGGGTCGCAAAGAGTCAGACACAACTGAGAGACTGAACTGAGTGGAATAGATAAACACAAATGGAGGACCTGTTATGTATCAAATAAGAGGATACTATCTGAATATGTGTTTTACTATCTGAATATGTGTACGAAATAAAGTGTATTTGGTAAAAAATTTAAACAAAGGCTAAAATCCAGGGGTTTCACCTGAAAACCCAGATCGGTGGTTTCTCTTGATTAACCAGAAGAGGGCCAACTGTGGGCCTGCGTTCCCACGAGGAACCGGTGTGCTGAAGCTGAGGATCCCAAAGCTGCCCCCTGCCACTCCAAGTCCCCCGCCCCCTTCCTCCATGCTCTCAGGTCCGGTTTCCGCTTCCTTCTGCGCATGCGCGCCTCTATCGCCACCCGCCTTCGCCGCTGTGACCCGCCCCGCCTCTGCAGCCTATTGAACCCAACACACCCGCCATCCTTTATCCCACTTACAAAGGTCATCTGGGTCTAGAGTTATTTATCTGGAAAACCACGGAAAACTAGGGGGGAAAGGACTTTCCCCTCCCTTGTTTGAAATTTAAGCGCTCTACCAGATTGCCACCCTCAAGTTGACTCTGGCTGGTCCCTATAAAATAGATTAAGGTATAATAAAGTGGTAGACGCATAGAATAAAACTCTCAGGAACCTAATACTTCCCTGAGAGCCATACAAGCCTCAGCTCCTAATCCAGGAAGAGAAAATACTTGACAGTTATACCACTGACACACCTCCTGTGTTGACTTTGGCACTCTTAAAAGATAGTCATGTTGGGTGGTGAACCCCTGGGAATTAGCTAGATCTTTTTTGCTTAATTGGAGGATAACTGCTTTACAGCGTTGTATTGGTGTCTGCTGTACAAAGTGTGTGTTAGTAGCTCCGTTATGTCCAACTCTTTGCAACCCCATGGACTGTAGTCCACCAGGCTCCTTTGTCCACTGGATTCTCCAGGCAAGAATACTGCAGTGGGTTGCCATGCCCTTCTCTAGGGGATCTTCCCGACTCAGGGATGGGACCTGCGTCTCCTGCATTGGCAGGTTGATTCTTTACCATCTGAGCCACCAGGGAAGCCCCTACGACAACATGAATCAGCCATAATTACATATATATACATATCTTCTCCCTCTTGTGCCTCCCTCCAACCCCACCTTCCGTCTCCCCTTCTAGGTCATCACAGAGCTTAGCTAGATCTTTCATGTCAATTTTTTAAAATAATTTTAAATTTTATTTTTTGGCTGTGCTGGGCTCTCATTGCTGTGAAGGATTTCCTCTAGTTTGGGTGAGTAGGGATGACTCTCTAGTTGTGATACACAGGGCTTCTCATTGTGGTGGCTTCTCTTGTTGCTAAACACAGGCTCTAGACGTGCAGGCTTCAGTGGTTGTGACATGAGAGCTTGATTACTCTGCAGTAGGTGGGATCTTCCTGGACCAGGGATTGAACCCGTGTATCTTGCATTGGCAAGTGGATTCTTTACCACTGAGCCACGAGGGAAGCCCTCAGGTCAAATTTTTAATGAAAATGAATTTTTCCTGGAATGTAAAAACCTTTATGAATATTTCTTCAATACTATTGATATTCCTATGTTAAGATGGGCAACTGAGATGCCAAGAGATTACTCATTCAAGGCTACACAGCTGGGATGTGCAAGAGTTGACTCTCAGAGTAACATGGAAATGTACATTACCATATGTAAAACAGATAGCCAATGGGAGTCCACCGTATGACTCAGGGAACTCAAACCCAGGCTCTGTAACAACCTAGAGGGGTGGAATGGGGAGGGAGGTGTGAGGGAAGTTCAAGAGGGAGGAAACATAGGTATACCTATAGCTGATTCATGTTGATGTTTGGCAGAAACCAACCCAATACTATAAGGCAATTATCCTTTGATTGAAAATAAATGAACTTTTAAAAACCATAGGGATAATAAAAGGTTCTTGTGAACTGAAAACAAAACAAAAAAGAGCTGGCTCTCAGATCCCAGATTTGCTTCTTTCATGTTCTATTATTGCTATGATTCATTTATTGTCTCCTTGAGCACTTGGCAGTGGTGGGGATGGGGGCACCAATGATGAAAGCTCTCTGCCTAAGAGGGGTCTCCATCAGTGATGCCAGTTCCCTTCACACAGGATGGACTGCCATCATCCATGCAGCAGTGCAAATGACTTACAGCTGATTTACTGGATGGAAAAATGCAGTGGGTTTGTTCTCAGTGGTATATAAGGAAGCAACTCCTAGCCTTGCAAAATAAGCAACCAATCAAGGTAGCTCTGCTGGGTTTGAGCAAGTGGCTGGATTTCCAGACCACAGTCTACTCCTGATGCCTCTTCTGAACTCTACCTGCTGCAATTTCAAGTTGAACCAGAATTCATCACCAATTGCCCCCAACTGCTGCACCTTCTGGAATTTCTTGTTCTCCTAGCTACTCAGGACCAACACCTTCTCTCCCAATGCTCACTTCCATTCACTGCCCATGCCTGTCCTCCTAAGACTGATATCTATCTACATCTCCTTTCCAGCATATCCTGACAAAAAACACCAGCTCAGCTCAGCCTCTCATCAAATTGTTAAGTTAGGGATTGTTTTCGCTGTTGCTTAGTCACTCAGTCAGGTCTGACTCTTCTGTGACCCCATGGACTGTGGCCTGCCAGGCTCCTCCCTCCATGAAGTTTCCCAGGCAAGAATACTGGAGTAGATCGCCATTTCCTCCTCCAAAAGATCTTCCTGACCCAGGGATCAAACCCATGTCTCCTGCATTGGCAGGTAGATTCTTTACCCCTGAGCCATCAGGGAAGCCCCAAGTTAGGGGTATATATCCTCAAAAGCCCCAGAAAATGATGTTGTAATTGTTCAAAATTTCATATTATGTCTCTTAAGGGTATGCCAGTTAAGAAACACTGGACATGAAACTCAGTACTGGCGGGGATGATGTTCAGTCAGCTAAGAAGGCCAGAATTTCAGAAATCCTCAGTCAAGCACAGAAGCCATTAAAAAGAGGTGAGTTAAGGATCTGGACAAGATTCATGTGGTAAAAGAGTTGGACACGACTTCGCAACTGAACAATAACATGCAGAAACCATGGACGCTTCTCAACATCCCACAGCATTCAGGACATTTAGTCATCATATCTCTTAGGCTTCTTCTCAGACTTTTTCTTGCTTTTGATGTCTTTGATGGTTTTAAAGAGTACTGGTCAAGTATACAGGGCTTCTCAGGTGGATCAGTGATAAAGAATCTGCCTGCCAAAGCAGGAGACGCTGGTTCGAACCCCAGGTTGGGAAGATCCCTTGGAGAAGCAAATGGCAACCCACTCCAGTATTCTTGCCTGGAAAATCCCCTGGACACAGGGGGCTGGGTGGATACAGCCCATGGGGTCACAGAGAGTGGAACACGACTGAGCGCACAAGTATATTGCACATATGCATGGTCAAGTATATTGCAGGATGCCCCTCTGTTGGAATTTGTCTGATGTCTTTCTTATGTTCAGTCTGGGGTTATGAGCTTGGGGAAGGAGATCACAGGTACAGTGCCATTTTCATCACATTGTATTAAGAGTACAAACAAGCAACAAGACATGAATGTTGAAGTTGCCTTTGATCACCTGGATGAAGTAAAGTGGGGAAATTTCTCCACTATAAAGTTACTCTTTATCCACCCCCCTCTTCCATACTATACTCTTTACTCTTTGGAAGGAAGCCTCTATGTATTAATACCTACATAAATTATTTGGAACTCTTGTACATGGGAGATTTGTCTCTTTTCCCTCATTTATTAATTTATTTTTATCTTTATGGACTCATGAATATTAATTTTATACTTTGGGTTATAATCCAATACTTTATTTTAGTGCTCAAATTATTCCAGCTTAAATCACTTGGAGCTCTTTCAGTTGGCTCCCATGAAAGTATATTTTTTATTCTGATTTTATAGGTGAGGAAACCAAGCTTCAAAGAATATAAAGTTCCCACCATCACTAAACTAACAAGAGCAGAGGTGCAATTAAAATCATTAGATTCTAAAGCACAGAGGTTTTTTTCCCTACTCACCATTGGTTACTGAACATAGCCAATCTTTGTTGACCAGTGACCAGTGTATCTTTCACCTGATGGAGTTACTTAAGGCAATAATGAGTTTTGAGCCTACCAGTCTGTTATGTACATTACAGGTAAAAGTCCTCATTTTTTGATTTTTTTATACATTGATGAATTTTCACAGAGTGAATCCACTCATGCAGCCAGCACCCACATCCAGACCCAGAGTTTCACCAGAAATCTCCCTGGTGCCTTCCTCCAGTAATCCCTGCCCCAGAAGCTACCGTTGTTCTGGCTTCTAACAGCAGATCAGGTGTGCCGGATTTTCACTTTAAGTAATTGGAGCCATCCATTATTCCTTTTGGAGGCTGGATTCTTTTGTTCATCCTCATTTGTTTTCATGTGGTTTGGTTAGTGGAGTTTTTTAAAAAGAGGTTCCAACCACTTATTTCATAAGAAAGGCTACAAACAAGGTAACACTTGTGAAAACACGTTAAGCAACTCCATAAAAAAATTGCACACTACTATCTAAGAAGTAAATTTACTTAAGATTAATGTTACACAAAGAAGGGAAAACTACCTGGAGATGCCACTGAATTGCCCCGTTATACCAGGGTGGCTCGCTTCCTCCTCCCTATCGTTATCTATAACTTCATCTACCGAGGTCTCTTTTAATAATGTCTCTGTTAGTCTCTGTCACAGCCAAGGTGCTTCTTGACTGACAGGATGTCCTTCTTGCCAACACATAGCCAAAAACTCTAGGTTGCTTCTAACATCTAATGGTGCAAGATGCTACCTGCCAAACTGGACTAAAATACTGCCCAGAAACCCAAGAGATCTGTGATCTATACAATTTCTCTTTCTCTTCCATTAGCCATCACCACCAATGACCTAGTTCCTCCTGAAAGGGCCCACATGGGGTCTCACCGATAAGGTGGCTCCTTATGTCAACCTCGAAAACAAAGACGAAATCACAGTGATCTGTGAGGCCGACCCAATTGCCCAAATGGCATCCTGTTATCTCACTGGCACCTGTCTTCTCAAAGCTGCGAGACCACCAGATTACAGACCTCTGGCTACGTGACCATCCTTTCAGAGAATTTTTTCAGAGAATTTGGTGGGGTGTAAGAAGGACTCCATCAGAAAGGGAGAACGCTGGTTCTCCTTAACAGCCAGTCACTCTCTCTTTTCCCTCTAATAAATTTCCTTTTCTTGCCTGACTGCCTGGCTCACTCTCTTTTTCTCTGCACTGGCTTTACACCTCCCAACAGAGGTGCAGAACCCTTGATGTCCCTGCCACCACCTCATTCAATCAAAGCATGAGCTCCCTCACGACCCACTCCCCCACCACAGGCTCCTAACCAACCAGAGGCAGCACAAGAGGGGAAGGTATTTGCCATTCCCACTCACACACAAAGCATTGTGTTATTTTCTGGTTGGATCCAGGCTTTAATCCTCTTGTTTTCTACTGGGAGTCAGGTTTCTAATTTCTACTGCATCCTTACCACCATATCTCTCACTGACTTGCAAACCTCCTCTGGCTCCCTCTTGTCTGATAAGTGATGGATGAAGTATCCTGCTTGGGTTTCAGTAATTTCTTTCATTTGTTCACACCCAGCCAAGCCCAAGATCAGGCTCTACTTTGTATTCTAGTCAGGCTGCTTTCTTCAACATCCCACACATGTCCTGCTTTGCCTGTCTTGTGTGTTCCTGCCTATCCTTCTAATATGAATGCATTTGTTCATTCTTTCAACAGCTGTTTTTTTTTTTTAACAGCTATTTGTTAAGTTCAGTTCAGTCACTCAGTCATGTCTGACTCTTTGTGACCCCGTGGACTACAGCACGCGAGGCTTCCCTGTCCATCACCAACTCCTGGAGTCCACTCAAACTCATGT